GAAGGCCACATCAACCAAGACCACACTGAAGCGTAATGAAGCGGAAACACTGATAACAAGTTTGCACACTCTGCCTCTCAACAGCAGTGTTACCTTCACAAAAGAACAATATATCTCAGTCAACTCGTCTCCCAACATGCTGAATGACATACATCGATTCTGCGTTCTTGGAAACAGTATTCTGAGAATCGATACCAATTTTGAGTTGGTCGATGGCCTATGGCTAACAGATACTACATACACGAACGAGTCCTTAATCGACCAGAGCAACAAGCATCCTGAATTCCCTGGTCCAAGCTTCTGGCATTTCAAGAAGAGTCGAGAGAGTTATCGAAGATTCGCTGGTGAACTCATCATTGCTAAGCCAGAATTGTTAGGAATAAAGAAGATTGGCCATGATCTTGACAAAGCTATTGCTGGTGGTATGACTGACATCTTGAAGGATGCAGACAATGTTTGGTGTACGCAGCATAGTCAGGAACGTGACGCCCTCAAACTTAAATCCCTAGGCGCAAATGAAAGATCAAGGAACAGAATCATGACTGACATCTATGGGTCCCAGGATGATGTCCTACTACACAATGGCTTGGCAGACGCAGATGACCCAGAGGACTTCCAAATTAAATTGGCACGTTTGGAGACTGTCTGGGAGAGCTTGGTGCCGGGGTTCCACCGATGGTTTACAAAGCATAGGTCGGAACAATTCAAGACTTGTCTTGTCCTATCTGCCCGTCAGAATCTGGGTATAACTGGTAGGTTCTATACCAATGGTTTAGAACTCAAACACCGACTTCAGAAAAAACGTCTTCGAGAAGATGAGATTCCAGAGGAGGTCGCCAATGTCACATCAATGCTGGAGAAGTGGACAACGGAATTCTACCTTGAGGAAGAAAGGGCTGTTTGTGGTTTGGGAAAATATAGGCTTTCTCTTGGGTACGAACAGTTTCAAGTCGATCCAGTGAAGTGGAACAGGTGGAGCCTAGAAAGGCAAGCTCAACACCTATCAGCATTGCGTAACTTCACACCGAAGTCATATGAAATGTATAAGAAACCCATGGTTACTGGAATTAAGTCATCTCCACAGAGTAAAAGAAGGAGAGTCCACTTGCCAGAACCAGAAATCTTCACCGACAGAGTTGAAGTTGGTGATGACACACCTCAAGCAGTCACCCCTATTCGAATCACAAAGAGTGATGACAAGACAAAGTGGCAGGTGAGAGGAACTATGACTGCATTGGTTTATATCTATAAATGTGGCAAGCAGACTTAGAGAGGGGATGTTGGGACTGGGTTAATGGTGCAAACTCAAAGACCAACACAAAACTTGGTGGGGGTCACGTTGGTCATACAAGTGAAGAATGCCAGAGTTTAGCTCATACTATATAGCGAGCAATTCACAATCCTGGGATCCACTAGCCAAAAAATAGGCATTGTTATTAGATCTGGGATTTCTACAAGGGTAATTTTTCTCTCCTATAGACAAACAGATGCATACGCAGACTGAGGTTTAGGTTTGTTACTCATCAGGTTCAATTTAATTTCATAGGTAGAGAAAAGTACAAATGCAGCTACTGAAGCAATGAACTTCCTTGACCCTGACAGGATATCGGGAAATCAGTACGAGCTTGTAAGCAGAGATGATGAAAAGCTTTGCCCCAAAAGTGTCCAACGCTGTGAGCAATGCAGGGTGGCTTTTCATCAGGCGGATAAGGTTGTCGTCAAAAGTGTTAGAGTGCGGGAACGCACTGATAAGTCAGGAAAGACAGTCAAATATACCGGTAATCTTTACCTGCATTTTCTAACCAAATGCCTCTCTGAATATGACCAGAAATTCGCCTTTTCTGCTATAACGGTCCCCACACGCACCCTTACATTTCTACCTGAAGGAGGAAGGGCAATACTAGAGGCCAAGGGGTTGTATGTGGAGAAGTAACTCGCGTGTGCACCTCAAGCATTTTTCAGTAAGAAATTATTTACAAATCATTTCATTAAGCTGTTTCAGTTAAACATTTTGTAACAGAAAATACAATGTTATTACCCTTAACATTGGGACAAGCTACGTGGCATTATCAATTTTATCTTCTTCATATTCGGGGGTTCGCTAGAGAAAAAAAGAGTTTACGGTATTTGTTTAAGAAAGACATTGAATTACTACAAGGATGTGTTAGTAAGTTTTGTTCAATTTTTGCAGCCACACAATGTCGTAATCTTGGCATGAAATGAAATAAATGTGAAAAACACCAAATTTTCCCTTTAGAGTTGTTTCTATTTTCCAAAAGTTTTTAACAAATGAGTACATATATAGTGAAACTTAGAATGAAGCAACGGTTCCATGCCAATCGTGCTCGGGGTATTTAGGTTGATGAAGATATTTACTTGTTAACGGTTCTCAGATGTTTTGTTATGTTCTGTGAATTAAAGAATGCGTTGCTACGCTGTAAACTTAAAGTTTTATTTCTTTGTTGCATTTGCTGTCTACTGATAAAATCAAATCAAACAATTCCAAGGTTATCGGTGCAATTAGAGGACTAAAAGGCCCTAACCATACAAACAATATTGATTCCATTTCCGAGAGCGCATGTCAGCGAAGAGTAGACACAGCTGTTTACTTTGTGGACCTCTGAATAGGCAAACAGCACCCTTCACCCGATCCCATGGCAATTTCCTCATTTCGGTAGAATATTTTAAACAATATATAGATTTAGCCAAGCTTAAAACCGGAACTGCACAATTTCTGCTTGTTTTTAGTAATTCTGAAAATACTTGAGCGGTCAGCGGCCATCATCCAAATTACGTGGCTCTATGAGTCCTATGCGATGTAAGTTGACGTTAACCTTTATACTCCAAAATTGATTGGCCTTGATTTAAAATTAAAGGTTCAGGTTAGCGTCAACTTACATCATTTATGGTCAATTGACAGCGGTCAAAACAAGGTAGCCGCTAACCACCGAGGTCATGTGATTTTTAGAAGGTGGCCGCTGATCAGTCGTTAATGTTGTTAATGTTTCAAATGGATCGCAGGCTCAAGTATTTTCAGAAATTATTTAAACGTTAACAAGCAGAAAATTTGGAGCTCCGCTTTTAGGCTTGTCTTAATCTTTATATTAGTTCTCTGATACCTAACAAAACAAAAACAAAATTCTAAGTGGCCATGGAATTTAATGTTTCTGAAGGTAGTTGTCGGTGGTTTTAGGCGGTTGTACACGTGGTTTTAGGTGGTTATAGGTGGTTTTGGTGGTTGTAGGTCATTCCATGTTTTAGTGTTTCAGCAAAATTCAGACGACTGCCAGGGAACTTGCCAGTCACACGTACCCAGTTTGATTAGAAAATGCTGTTTCGCATTTGTCGTCGGCCAATAAGGCAAATAATCTCAACTATCCCGTCTGTTTGGAAAAAAATAGACTTCAGAATGATAAAAAACACTTGCTATGCAATATTGAACTGATTGAGGCGTACTGTTTTTTTTCAATATACTCTCGCGTAACTGTTATTTGCATATCTAAGCCGTCACTCCTTTATTCAGAGCACGTGGTCGATAGAAAGGTAACTTTACCAACTATTCTTTAGAGAACAAAAAGTCGTTAATTGTAAACCTTCTTAAGAGAGTCTAAATTGAAGACGTGGCTCTTACGGTAAACATCTTGAACAGAAATTTTTTGCAAGTTCACGGTTAATATTACACTCTAGCTTTATCTTTTTGATACCGCACGTACTGTTAACACTTTTAAAAAAGAATTAGAACTAGTTGCAATCGTTTTTAAAGATAACAAATAAAATCCTTATCAAGGTTTCAGTCATATCCTTTCAGTATGAATACAAACTAAGTTATTATCGGAGTGATCTGACAAAAGGAATTCTATCGAGTCATCAGTTACTGTAAGGATAGGCCAAATCGGAGTGAGCGAGTAACACAAACCCCCGCTATGCGTGAACAAAATCAGAAAAAGGTAAACATGGTCACTTTTCGTTTCCTCTTATTTGGGCTCTGATCTTTTTGTTCCCAAAACAAATCAATATCTAGCTTCTCCTTGCAATATCCAATTTCTTTATTTTCTTTCCTTCTTCAACCCATGTCAACACTCCACAAAATCTTCTATAAGGATGAAAATGAGAACCAAGACTGTATGCGCAAACTGTATTTTCAAGTCATTACGATCAGTAGAATTCAGTGTCACGTATTTCATAAAAGATCTATCGGTATGTGTCGAAGTACTCATTTATTCTACTTCTTTATTTCTGGTTACGACTATTATGGATGAGTCATTTTCTATAGTCTTTTAATTCAGGCAGTAACTCAAAGGAATGACTGTATTACTGGGAAATACTTATATGAAGAGGTTGTGATGCCTGCACAGCAATCTTTTTAAAGCAAAATTTCCTGCGAACTTTTTCAACTTTAACCACTTTTTAAAGTGAATTGATTAAATGTCGCTACAGGAAGTCTGTTTAAAGTCCAGTAATAAATCTGCAAATATAGAATATTTCTGATTCTTGTGAGATTTGGCAGAATTAAGCAGGCAACAGCAGAAAAAAATATTCATCTGCTAAGGTGTCAGTTGACTTAGAAAAGCATTCAATTTGATGTTTTTGACGAAGGGTCGATGTAATGTCTGTGGACGGCCTCCTTTTTTCGGCATTAATTCTTGAATGGAAAAAGCTGGGTTTAAGTGTGTGAGATATGTGAGTTCAACTTTTGATATAACACAAGACGAGGATCTGCAGGAGAGAAAGGACCCCTCCCTTAGCTAATTTGACAATACTGAGAGAACAAGGAATCAAGTCTAATGAAAAAGGGTAGAGGCGACAACGAGAAAAAAAAAGTTTATTATATTAAAGATACGAAGAAGAACTTTAGTTGTCATGTTGCACAATTGTTTGTATTGTGGTAAGAGACTATAAAATGGATGCAACTATCTATATCCGGCCGAAACACACCAAAGGTCGGTTACCACTAACAACTAAAACAAGTGGCAATATTACATACTTCATAGAGTTGTGATGGAGGGTATAAACGTAGTACTGCACTACACTCTTAACACAAGTTCCACTATTATCTACAGCTTTTAACTACGAGTAAAATAATCTTCAATATCCATATTTGTTCATTGATTTATTCTATATATATTATATCTTTTACCAATGTATTTATTTTGTTAGTTCATTTACTTATTTCTTCACTTAATGCTATTCAATCCCCTCCAAGGTTCGTTTTATTTGAATAATTTTTTTATCGAACAGAAATTTAATTTCGTATTGTTTTGCATTGCTTGCTTTTATTTTAAGTACTTTCGTTATGTAGGGAGCTCAATCTTGTCACCATCATGCGCACTCCTTTTCATTTACTTATTCAATTACATATTTATTTAATCATTTGTTTATTTATCTACCAACTATTTCACTTAATTACATATTTCTAACCACCCTCACAGTTTTTTTTTGTTTACTATGGTTTCATTTTGTTGTTATTCCATGAATGGATTGAGATTAGTTTCAAAGTCTGGAGAATCAACGGGCATTTTAAGAGTTACACCATGTAACACTAAATGTTCACAATTCTCAGAGTGTGCAAAACACTAGTAAAATTATAGAACTTCAGAAAACTTTCGATACTAACGAAAAAATAAACTAAAGAGAATCGTACGAATACGCAGGATACTAACGAAACAATTGGAATTTAAATTTAGGCAGGGTGCTGGACTTACAAACGAAATAATCGAGCTTAAGAGAACACTCGCAGTGCGCTAGATACTAACAAATCAGCAGAACTAAAATGAATTCTAAGAGTGCACGAGATATTAACGAAACAATAAATTTGAAAAGCATCTTTACAGTGTGCAAGAGATTATTGAAACACTTAAACAAAAAGAAATCTTCAGCGCGCACAAGAAACTAACAAAACAATAGAACGATAGAGACTACTTAAAGTACGCAATATCCTAACAAAATAAACGAAAAAAGGAATCATCAGAGTGCGTAAGGCACTATCGCAACAGCCAAACTAAGGGGAATCCTTAGAGGGTGCGAGACACTAATGCAACAGTCAAACTAAAAAGAATCCTTAGCGTGCAAGAAATACTAACGCAACAATCAAAGTAAAGAGAATCCTTAGAGTGCGCGAGACACTAGCGCAACAGTCAAACTAAAGTGAATCCTTAGCATTCACGAGACACAAACGCAAGAATCAAACTAAAGAGAATCTTTAGAGTGTGCGAGACACTGACGCAACAATCAAACTAAAGATAATCCTTAGCGTGCACGAGACACAAACTTAACAATCAAACAAAAGAGAATCCTTAGAGTGGGCAAGACACTAACGCAACAATAAAACTTAAGAGAATCCTTAGTGTGCACAAGATAAACACAACAGTCAAACTAAAAAGAATCTTTAGAGTGTGCGAGACACTAACGCAACAATCAAACTAAAGAGAATCCTTAGAGTGCGTGAGACTCTAACGCAACAATCAAACTAAAGAGAATCCTTAGAGTGCGCGAGAAAATAAGGTAACAATAAAACTAAAGAGGACCCTTCGAGTGCGCGAGATACTAACGCAACAGTTAAACTTAAAAGAATCGTTACTTTGCGCAAGATACTAATGCAACAGTTAAACCAAAGAGAATCCTTAGAGTGCGCGAGATACTAACGCAACAATCAAACTAGAGAGAATCCTTAGAGTGCGCGAGACACTAACGCAACGGTCAAACTAAAGAGAATCCTTAGAGTGCGCAAGATACTAAGGCAACCATCAAATTAAAGACAATCCGCAGAGTTTGCGAGATACTAACGCCACAATCAAAATAAAGAGAATCCTTAGAGCGTGCGAGACACTAACGCAACAATCAAACCAAAGAAAATTCTTAGAGCGCACGGGACACAAACGCAACAATACTAAACTAAAGAAAATCCTTAGAGTGCGCAAGACACTAACGCAACAATCAAACTAAAGAGAATCCTCAGAGAGCACCATTATAAATCGAGCTGGTGATAACCGATCACGTTCGAGAATTTTGCTATAGTCTTCATTAACTCAACAATCTCACTAGAGAGTGTCCTCAGATTGCGCGAGACACTGACGCAACAATCAAACTGAAGAGAATCCTCGGAGAGGGCGAGATACTAACTCGAAAATCAAACTAAAGAGAATCCTTTGGGTGCTCGAGGTACGAACGAAACAATCAAACCAAAGAGAATCCTTAGCGCGCACAAGACACAAACGCAGCAATACTAAACTAAATAAAATCCCTAAAGTGCGCAAGACACTAACGCAACAATCAACTAAATAGAACCCTCGGAGAACGCCAGATAATAACTCGAAAATCAAACTAAAGAGAATCTTCAGAGTGCGCAAGACACTGACGCAACAATCAAACTAAAGAGAATCCTTAGAGTGCGCGAGACACTAACGCAACAATATAATTAAAGAGAATCTTCAGAGTGCGCGAGACACTAACGCAACAATCAAACTAAAGAGAATCCCCGGAGAGCGCCAGATACTAACTCGAAAATCAAATTAAAAAGAATCCTCAGAGTAGGACGCGTACACTGTCCTATTAGTGCTCAAATCGGGCAGGTGATAACCAATCACGTTCGAGAATTTTGTTATAGTTTTGATAAGAGTACTAATAGGACAGTACATGCGTCATGCTTGTGATTGGACAGTGTAATAGGACAGTTCACGCGTCATGCTTGTAATTGGACAGTGTAATAAGACAGTTTACGCGTCATGCCTGCAATTGGACAGTGTAATAGGACAGTTAAAGGGACAGTTCACACGTCATGTCTGTGTAAGTGGACAGAACGCGTCATGTGCGCGCGCTAATGTCTCGCATTTCGCCGAGTTAACTGATATTTTTTTTATGAAAACGTATAGCCGATGTTTAGTTTCTTTCTCAAATTTTGTCATAGTTTTGATTAACTGGTAACAGGACTGAGTGGAGTCCAATTCGGTCTGTAATCATACTCGTGATCAACAAATCAGACTCCCACTTCGCGCTTGTCCGATTTTGTTAATCACTCGTATGATTACAGACCGAATTGGACTCCATACGGTCCTGTTACTATTCATGAATAAAGTTAAGAGAATCCCCAGTGTGCGAGACACTACCGTAATAATCGAGCTAAAGAAAATACTTAGAGTGCCCGTGGAAGTAACGTAACAATTGAGCTGAACAAACTCCTGAGTACGCAAAACACTAAAGCAATAATCAACGAAAGACATTAGCACAGTGCACAAGACACTAACGCAACAATCGAACTAAAAAGAATCCTTTTAGTGTGCGAGATGCTAACGAAACAATCAAACTAAGAAAAAATTTTCAAAGTGTACAAAATACTTGCAACATATTCGAACAAAAGAGAATCCTTAGAGTGCGCGAGACACAAACGAAACAGTCAAACTAAAGAGATTTTCAGAGTGCGCGAGACACTTACGAAAAAATGAACTAAAGAGAATCCTTTGAGTGCGCGTGACAAATAAGAAACAATCAAAATACTACAATCAATAAGCGTAAAGACGTTGTGTGAAATGAACATTCTCTTATCGCTGGTTCTTAAGCTACGTTACTTATGTTCCTTACCTGGAGGAATGTTCTTTTTGGGCACAATGGAATCAGAACGTCATGTAGAAAAGCGTTAGAAAAAGACATAACGATGTCGGAATAGACAATTCTCCTGCCTGTCAAACAGCCAGCCAGTCAGGCAGCCAGCTAATCAGCTTTCAAGCTTGTCAGTAAACTAGCGAGGCAGCCAGCCACTCGGCTGGCCAGTCAGTCGGTTAGTCAGTCAGTCTAGCTGTCACTCAAACAGCCAGCCAGTCGATCCTTCAGTCAGTCTGTCATTGTATTAGAAACTCAATGACTTACATGAGCTCCAAGAAGACAGGTCTTGTGCCAATTCACATCTTGACTCAGTTTATTCACGTGCGAGGACAGGCACATAGGCACACAGGCACACACCAACCATCACCTTCAATAAGAATAGCTATAAGCCACATGGCCAATTGGAGGTTTGAGCCCTTCATATAAAGTCCTATCATACATAAATAGTAAACAGAGGATATTACATGGCCGCATGGGGAAATTTCAAAAGAACTGGCCGCGCACCTGAGCAGGAAGCTCTCTTGTCATTGGCTAATCATGTTTGTAACCATGGCGACACCAATGTCCTCACCCGTGAAAGATAAAAATAGTATCTTCACTGCCGCAATGAAGGTATGATTTTTTAGTAAGAGGAAAAATTCTGGTATTTCATCAGTATCTATATAATAAAAATTAATATTTAATGTGTAAATATATTATCTGAATCTACAAGCCTCTCAATTAGTACTAAAATGATACTGTGAGGGGAAGGGAGGAGACAAAGATATCAGCAATACTCTAGACACTTTTTCAAATACATGTTACGATGAGCATCAAATGGCTCAAGTTGGCAGCCCAACGCTATTTTGATAAAGTTCCAAAGGACATGAAATGCATAAAATCCAATACATAAAATCCTGCAGCTCAGCAAGAACTATAAAGACCCAGACAACTAGGTCTAAAAACATGCAAAACCAACAAAAGCAAGGGCCCCCAAAACTTAAACTTCAAAAATACCCACAAACCGAAAAAAAAATTAAGACCCATAAAAATCAAAAATCTGAAAAACATGAAGCCTCAAAATACCAGAGAGATTCTTAACTTGTGACCCTAAATAAAAAACAACCCAAAAGTGACTTGGACTTAAAATAGTAAAACCCTGAATTCTTCCACCTGGGAAAATAAATGTAATAATGAGCATAGATTGGCTCAAGTTTGCAGCCAACCTCTAATGAGATAAAGGCCCAAAGAATATGAAATGCATAAAATGCAATTCAAATGTGATGGCATGATGCCCACACCAGTAATGGTACTTAAAAATTTTTAACACAGGTCAACCACCCTCATCCTTTGATACAATCTCCTCAGTAATAAATATCCTCTGCACCAAATGTTCCAGACTGCATAAAATGCAAAGCCACTACAGCTAAGATACATAAAAAAGGTCGGTTTAAAGGAAAATCACAATCATTTAATCATAATCAAAATAATTTATCATTTATTTTATAAAACGGGATACAGATTCAAGTAAGTGAAATTGATTTGATCATTGGTAATTAATTAAATGATTGATTAATCATATGATAAATTATGTCAACTTTCCATACTCAGTGCTAGTAGGGATGAGTTTTTACACACACGCAACACTGTAAAAGTGATTTAATAGAAGACACTGACTGATGGAATAGTCAAAATATCTAGAAGTAAATTATTCCATAGCCTTGGTGCAGCAACAGACAAGGCCCTCTTACCCTGGGTTTTCAAGTTAGTCTTTTGAAATTCTAAAAGATACTTCTTTTAGAGAGCATGGGAGGGACCAATTGATGACTAATATATGCAAGCACAAGATAATTTAATCCCTTGTGCTTAAGCAATAAACTTTGATAATAGTTTGCTACTCCACAAGGAGCCAGTGTAAGTACATAAAAATTGCACCTACACTCTTTGGTAACAAAGCACACAATGCAGTTTTTTCTACTGTGCTGAAGCAAAACAAGTTACAGTTGTTTAAATGAAAGGCAATTCTTTAAACAATACCAGAGTAAGATCAACTATAAGTCAAATCAGTAGATATGATGTCCATACTATTACAGCTAAAGTTATAGCTAAGGATTCTCCCTCTTCAATGTTAGTGAGTTTCTGCAGGTCTAACTTTGATAGCACAACCAATATACAGCAATTTTCTCAAGACTACTCTTGAGCTTTTATTTGATTTCTTTCAAAACTTCTTTTTTAAAATTTGAGGTGCCCAAACTTGGGGTGCAATGCATCTTTGAATGCAGCTTATCTGCCAGTGTTTACAATAACTGTCTTATTCCTATCAATATCTGAAATGACATAATTACATTCTCTGACTAAAGCAGTCTCAGTACTCAGTAAAAATTTCCTTTATGCTAATGGAAAGATTTCACCTAGACAAGCTACTGAAATCGTCAGTGATCGATCAATTGTGAAGCTACCACTTTTCAGTAAGTTGAGAAATAAGCATGAAGTTGGAGATGAGATGGAAGTTAGCACAATATTTTAATTACTGATTTGCATGATCTTTTAATATGTGAATATTTACCAAGGACAGGCAAGGAATAAGGTTCAACATTAACTAAGTTTCCAAGTCAAGAATATTACCTGTTTTTATCTTTCAGACTTCAGAGGTTAAAAAGCATGTATTTTTTTATATTATTATTTCTTCATACTACATCTGTTTTGAAATCACTGGTGATCCTTGTAATCTGAACAGCTCTCATTGGTACAATATCCTCACAAATGGCACCATTTCTTGTTTTGAGTTGCATATTTTTCCCTGTCAAAAGAGAGGCTTTACTAAAAAAACAATTGATTGTTTAAAAAAACCAATCAATTTGCAAGAAAATGAAAAACAACTTTTGCAACTTCCTACCAACTAGCCCACTTATGGATTAACACAACATTTGTACAGACTTAAAACTCCTGAATCTGAGCAATTTCAAAATGGATATAGTAAAGTGGTTCTGAACTTCATGTTGTGCAATTTTGGTGAGAAATCATAGCTGTGATTTCAAATCACACATTTGATTCCAGATCAAATTGCACTCCACTCAGTTTACATTACCATTATAAATCCTGATTGTAACAACTGGGTATCACAGTAGGATATGGAATTCGTGTTATTGTTCATGGAACACACACTTAGTTTCCTTGCTAGAAATCTCAAAGATGTGAAAATATTGAAGGACCACAGCCAGTATAAGACATGGTAAAAATTTTAAGAACAATCTCTGACAAAAAAAATTGAAACATTATGAACTTTTTACTGCCTGAACTACAGTCTTAGACAAGCGAAATGTGAGGGACAAAAGCAGAAAAAAATTAGAATAAAAAAGCGTGAAATTGTGAAAGAATACAATGTTTGTTAAAAAATGTTTTGCTCTACTCACCCTGAAATGAATATTAAATACTTTGTAATAAATCTTAAGTAAACAGAACAAACAGTTCCAGATGCAAGCATCTCATTTATTGAAGTTGGTGAGCATTTAATGGTTACAATAAAACACTGAGAAGATAAATACTCCTACAGTTCACATCAAAGTTCATATGCAGAAAGAAAAAAAGTGGTTGTAAGAGATGCCTTTGAATGGTGCTGAATAACTTGCAATATCTTAAATTAGCAAAATGCATTCCACAAGACTTCCTACAGCTTAATCATTACCAGAGCATTCATGCATAAATTCCTTATATACATACACATAAAACACACTTGTTAATCATTCTGAAACATTACAAAATACATTTTCCACTGGCATTTCATGTAACACAGGAAAAAGAAAAAACAGAAATAAGGTTAATTTTTTAGAAGTGAACAAGGCTTTCTGATTAAACAGATGAAGACCAAATTTAACTTCCAAAATTTTCTTGATGCAACCAAAAGCCGATAAGTCATCAAACCAAGCAAATGACATTGTTACTAATTATTAAATGGCATCAACTCAAAACATTCCTCAAGTTGTTTCTTTCAAGGTCATAACTGACAATCCTCAAGTAACACGTTTCATACATGCTCTTAGCCTTATCTTTTTTCCCTTCAAAGAATAATTATTTTTTAGCTTTCCAGTGTAGGTCACGAAGCTAGTTCAAGAGCTAAAGACCATTGCACCTCTTTACCTGGTCCCTGAATTGAAAACAATACCCTGTTCTCAGAATGTGTGCACACTCATTTCCCTGATTATGTGATTTTTTTATGCCTACTACAGAATGCACGATGCAAAACTGAGGAATCACTTTAAACAGATAATTGGATAACCCTGTTCCAATTGCCTATGTACCAGAGGGATTAAGCGAATTGCCACCCACTGATTCAAGTGTTTTAATGAGGGGACAACAGTTTAACAAAGTGGTATAACTTCATCAAAATAAACTTAATAAAAACTAGCAGTTTTTGCACAGTATGACTTGAAGCATTAAAAACACTTTGGGGAGAGTTTGGCCTTATCCTGTAGTTGTGACCTAAAGGTATTGCATGCAGGTTAGTTTTGGATAACACTAAAATAAATTTCCACAGGCCAAAAATTTTATTGCATTAATTTGAAGTGCCAAGTACTGATTTTTGCCTATGAAGTTGGCTATGTATTTTTCTCCCCTGAAAGCAGTAAAAAAAAAGTGAATTAACAATTCTTTCAAAACTTATTTTGCAGTACAATTGGACAATTTGTCATTTAATCATTCAGTTAACCTGTACTCTTTCTTCCTATATCATCATTGATCAATTTTTTTTCTTTTTGAGTATTATTTCATTCTAAACTTTTGAGCAGTTTCATGCTGGCTAAAGTATAAAGAAGAGAAAAGATCAAGCTATCAGTTATATGGATATACATGTAAGAAGCTCAGTACATAATGGCATAGAAGAGTATACTGAGAAGATAACGAAGCAGAATCTTGCCTGTTTATTCATCTTCAGCACCATTTTTATCAGACATTGTGGAAACTTTTTGATGCGGCAAACTGTGGGAAAAGAAGTCATTAACAAAAGGAGTGCACCAAAAGGAGTAAATGATATTTAAAGTGGGCATAAAAATTTCAGAAAGGTGTATGATTACTGCTCTATAGTGTGTCAAATGTAAATTTTTGTTTATGGTAGTTCTTTTTTTTGTCTAAATGTAGTTGTGATTAAATTTAATTGTAACTACATGAATTGAAACTTACTCTTTTACAATCACCTCCAACATGTAGTCAACTAAGACTTTGGTATGCTGTGAGTTCCATGAAATATAGGAGATAATTTGTCACTTAAATGATGTGATCCACCTTCTTAAATACCTGTGGTTGACAAGACCTAGAGAAGAAAGTTGTTTTTTAGATTTAGTTTGTAATGTCTATGTATAAGCTTTTAGAAAATGATCAAATGAATACACATTTAACCCTTTAACTTCCATGAGTGACCAGGACAGAATTTCTCCTTACAATATCAATACAATATCAACCAGATAAGTGATGAGAAAAACATCAATTTGGGGAAAATAAGTTGATCCAATACTAAATTCTCAGAACTAACATTATATGAATTGTATGGTTGACGGTAAGGAGGATTACAAATTTGATCTGGGAGTTAAAGGGTAAAGGTTTTAAACTACCCTGAATTAGGTTTTTCACTATACCAAAAGTTCACTTTAGATTTTAAAGAATATTGTCAAGCTCTGTAATCTCATTGATTGGAACATTATTTTTGATTTGATTTGATGTATTTGATTGAGTATCAATACAGGTATAGTGTTACAAGTGTGATGAAGTTCTAGGGTCTAGATAAATGCTATGACAGTGATAAGGAAGCAGTATGCATTGTATTTTCTATTTGAAATATTTGAAAAGTGTTACCATTATTTAGCTTTATTGGTAATGTTAAATTCTAGGAATCAATTTTAAAAAAAATTTCACTTACCATGGCTGGTGATTTATGTAATAGATTGCCAATCCAATCCAGTCACATCTTGATGATGGTGAATAAATTCTGAATCATGACAAGCAATGATTCTTTGATTTCTTGGAATTGACCTGGCAATGAATTGAAAGAATTTGATAACATTTGCATGTCTCAACATCTATAGGATGCAATGGCTGCCGTTTCGATGAAATGTTGAAACGACTTGTCATGATTCCACCAGTAATTCATAAAAAATGTTTTTGAAAGTTATTAAGATGTGAATAATTAACTTGATTCTGGCCTGAGATCGTGACAACTCTGTCTTAAGAATTTTAAATCAATAAGAGAGATGCCACTCAATCAAGGAGGTGGCTATATCAACTGGTGACCCTACATCTTGTTTACCGGTACTTTTATTTGGCACCAAAATATTTTTCCGTTTTTGTTTAAAAAATTTAATTGTTTCCTATAATTCATTAAGTGTTTAAGTGTCTTCAGCTTTGCACGAGATTTTTGTGTCACAGAAAACTTTAATGTGCAAATCGACCCAGTTATTGAATGAGTGACTTGTTAAAGACCTTATCTCCAGGTCACTGTTTCTCTTTGATTATTTGTTCTTTAATGTTATGTCTTTATTGTATGTTTAGGTTAAAGCTGTCAAGGTAAAAAAAAGATCATGGACTTGTCTAAATATTACACTGATCAAGTATACGTGAACGCAGATAAGTGTCTAGGGCCTATTGACAGTCATGCCAAAGTAGCTCACGTTCAGATGGGGGTGTCAGAAAACACTGGAAAAAAAGCTCATTACTCTTATTTATTTCTTTGGGATCCAATGGCTTCTTGTTTGCTACTCCACATACATTGCAGCCTTGGAGCTCAGATAGCTCAAACATATGCCATACCAGTTGAACAGCCAAAGTTCTTTGCCAACATTGCCTTAGACCAGAGTGTCAGGGTTTCATGAACACCAAAGGGATTTACTGTGAATGGTGTTACACCAACAGCTTTATCTGTTTCCGGAGAGGGTTTATATACTTCCATCACTGCCGGGCTGTGCTTAGAACGATGTGGGAAGGTTCTGGTGACTGTCTCCCCAGTGCTACAAAGAACGGCAATTAGACTGTCTATAAGCTCGAGGATTTTTCTGAGGTTCTGTTGGATCTTTGCAGAGTCTTCCCTCCTGGCAGGCTGTTTTGTACTGGGTAATAAGGTCTTCATTGCTGTAGCCACATCAAACAGAATATGGGAAACAGCTCTCTTGTGCATGGGAGAGCTGACAAGCACAGGTCAGACTAATAGAGAACTGTACACTGGATTTGTATTCACTGGGCTGACTGGTGTGCAAATGGCAATGATGGATTCGGAGATAGACAAATGCATGATGATGAAGGTAACAGTGCATGAACAGAGTGCCCATTGTTGGTTTTTTGTACTGATTCAACAAATTTTTTTATCTCAAACCTCAGTGCCAACACTGATTTTATTCTAAGAAGATCCTTTTATTCACCAATAGAGTTGACTTTTCTAGTCAGTAAAGGGCTATTGTGTTTATATGATAAACAAAATAATACATGGTTTCTTGCAGATATGAAATTTCTCCTCTGCTTTTCAACTCAACATTTCTTTCATTTGCTGTATTCATTTGTGAGCTATTGAATTGAACACTCGAAAAGAAATTCCATATCTACGCGCGCCCATGTATTATTTTCTATGTAATACAGTGCTAATACTGAAGCTTAGTTAGGTTTATGGTTAATCTGCATCTAACCATGCATAAACTTTTGTGTAGAACCATTGCTAAAATATACTTACAAACCACTCTAGAGGATCCCTCTACATAAATCTGCCCAAAAGCGACATAATACGGCCCCAGTCTCGAAATGCACTTTATGCAGCAAATACATTTGAACTGCGTAAAATCTCGAAATGACTTATACAACAAAGATCGAACGCACTTTACTAATGTTTGATTACTCCTGGTAAGAATTGTTTGAATCTAAAAAAAAATTAATGTAAGCAACGTGTATACATATGTTTTTTGGTGTAACTTAGCTCACCTCTAATAGCATCTTTGTATCATATATTGTGACGCTGTCGCCTGGCTAAATTGGAAACAGTGCGAGAGGGATTTGTTCCCAGCGCGAAGCTAGGCAGCCATTTTTGCGATTCGTGTCCAGAAAGGCCATTAATATAAGATATGACATATGTTTTGCTTAACAGGCACAAACATTATCAATTCCCTGAGACAACGAATCCCAACAACGGAGTTCAACCTCCTTCCACGTACACTTCGAGGTCGTCGCCATGTTCAATTCGATTCCACTAGTACCCAGTTTCTCAGTTTGCGCGAAAAACGCGGGAAGCACAGGATTCCCAAGGACATCGTGAGCTTGGGTGGTAGCCTGCCTACCTAGCGGTTTTTCGGGGAGGTCGATGAAGCGGCAGAGCCACCTGGTTGCAGTAGTGAGTCAATTAAAAAAAAAAAAAAACTGTACGAAAATTAGCAAAATTTGTACGAGGCGAAGATTTAAGAACAAAACCTTCTTACGAAGGCGCGCGGTCGCTGCTAACCACGTTGACTTGTCTTTGCTCCATTACATCAAATCTCACAGCACAGAAAAGCCACTGAAATGAATTGCGCAATGATTGAACCATTCATTTATCATATATCGTCGTTTATTTTCTTAACACACACGGTAATTAATTAAATCGAATAATGTCAAAAAGTCAGACTACCAGGAATTATAATTCCTGGTAGTCTGACTTTTTGACATTATTCGATTTAAACTGTCGGTGGATACTCCTTGTACATTCAGTAATTATATACTTGAACTACTTGACGGTAGTACATTTTCATTGAACCTTTTTAACACGTTCCCCGCCGGATGATACCTAGCTACAATGTAAGTTAGTCTTCCATCTTGACTCTTACAGGTTCCAACTCCGATCTCGGACGTTTCACGCCAAACGATCTGGGTGAAGTGACCAGTATCATGGCTAAACCCTGGTGAGTCATATTTGTAACTATTGACCTCCGAATACCAAATTCTGACAGCATCAGCAACATCATAGTGGTCAGACATGCGGCAAATATTCTCACCCTTGAAATTTCGCTCTTCCTTGCGTGCGTGACGCAGTTCGTCGTTTCGTGACAGCTTCTCGGCCCAAGCTTGCGCGTCTTTTGACAACGCCGATGACCATTTAAGACAAGGTACGTTGTGGTGGAGTCGTAGTTCATTGTGTGCTTTTAACACAGTATCAATGAAGGAATCTGAAACTAAAGAATTGTGTTCAGAATGAAGAGTAAAGGGAATCATTCTATGAAACAATATCCTCGGAAAATGCTCACCAGATTCTTAATTATAGGAAGCGGGTGGAGGAATGGGGGGGAGGGAGGGGGGGATTCTCGACAAAATTTTAATTTGCATGCAAAGGAAAACCAAATTTGGAGTCACCTTAATATGACAGTCCCATGGTCATCCGGCGAAAACCCATTCTTTTCGTCCAAAAAGACAAAAAATGCGGCAACAATCTGAAATTGTTTGCGCTCCTTAATTAGCCCAACGCAGCCCACAAGATCTGCATTTTTTCAGTATTGGGACGTCTATTTAGGACTGGAGCACCCTCAGCGATTCCAAGCCACGCATTGTAACCCCTCCACCCGATCAGTATAATCACTCCTAAGGATACCCTCGTTTTTCACTGATCTTCTCCGTGTATTAGTCCTCCCACCGGTAAGCTGACTATAGATAATTGAAATACTTTCAAAGTTCTCTTACACTTTGTTGTAATGGAATCTTGCACATCGGTCACGATTTCTTGCGGAAATATCTTGTCTGTAAAGTGGAAAACAAAAACGTTTCACTGAAAAGAATTGATATGAAATTTTTAAAATACTATTAAAATAAATCGATCAAGTCCATAAAATGTATAAAAATGGACTTACCTTGCGTTTGATGCTCCTCTTCCGTTAACCCCTGCGTCAAACAACCAAAAAGAAACAATACTTTAAAATTTGGGCCTTTATAACATGTAAGCGAAGGGTATTCTCTATTTCACTGCGAAAGAGCTCGACTGCCTTCAGTTTTTATCATCAAATTAACTCCCGCTATTACTCAAAATTTACAGTTAAGCTGTTCTCACTACCAGTTTTACCACAATCTCAAATCACTCTCAGAGGGTAAATTTTAGCCCACCTCACCTTTGGAACGACGTTATCATTGAAGGAATTTAACATATTTCCAGCGGGACGGTATCTTGCCACCACGTATACACTTCCATCAGAACTTTTAGCCCTTGCCATGCCCAGCTCTTTCGAATCCTTCCATATTACTTGAGTAAAATGACCTGTTCCAGCTTGATGTCCGCCTCTTTTAAAATCATATCGCTCGACCTAAAAGTAGATTGTCATCACTGTATTATTCCAGTACTACTAAGTCATAAGGCAATCTTCCTACTAATGTAGCTCAGTTACACGAGGTACCACAGCTCTTCAGCCCTACTCCTTGATGGAACCAGCTGATATACCATCTAAATAAAAAAATTTTCACGCCAATCTTCCCCTCTCCACATCTCCCTCTAGTCCATCACAATCGTTGTTTAGTCTTGTGACGCTCTGAGCTGCGCATGAGCTCTCTTCCCTACCACACTTTTTCGGGAGAGGGGATGTTGCGTGACGTAACTAAAATAATAGCCACGTGTAGCCTACCAACCTCCCCCCACCTACCCCCGCCAGAGTGAAACGGTTTCACCTTGCAGGGGGGGAGGGTAAGGCTACACTTAGGCTACTAAAACAAGGGTTGTGGCTACACTCATACTTGGTCTCGCTCAGTTCAATTCTTCTTTATTGTGACTCCCTTAACTCTTAAAAATTAAAAAAGTCATTAGGCACAATCGAATGAGTATATACTGTGTATCAAAACTAAATTATTATGAAGCACTTACCTCTGAATACCAGGTTTTTACCGCCTCTTCTGCTGCTGCATCGAAACCCTTTGAGGTCATGAACACATTTTCGCCAATCCCCTTTAGTTGATCGTGTTCCAGACTACTTTCCTTGGCCAGTTTATTTGCCCAGGTTTGAGCTCCTCTTGCGAGTTCATTGGACCAGCCTAGAGGCGATACGTTGTGCAAGGATCGTTTATTGTTATGTGCCTTCAAGGCAGTCCTTGAGAAGATATCCATTTTCTAATCGTAAAGAACAAATGTGCATGCACGGAGTTAGGAAAAAAAAAACGGTCGTTTCTTTTGTACAAACGATAGGGAGCAGAGGAGTGAAATTTGACTCTATTTCCAGTTTGATAAATCGGCGCGACACAATTTTGTTTATTTGATCTTTGACAAATACGATCGTGTTACGTTTCTCTTTTTAATAAGCATTGTGTGCGGTTGGAATTTCAAGCGACGCGTAACAAGATCCCATCTACTTACGAAAGCCAGTCAAAAAGATCGACTCTCGCTACAATTTTACGGTTCTATAAACTTGACATGCAGTCAAATTTAACTGTCGCGGGTGATCGCAGCCGTTGTTGTTTGGTCTTGTCACGCAAATTCCCTCCCAAACGCGTTGCGTGACGATACTAAACAACGGCTGCGAAGAAAAACATCATCGCTTAAAGTAGTTTTCGCTTGTTATTCAAAAGATCTTAGGAAGTATAGGGTTGACCACTAATTCTACTCGTATAATATTCCAAATCGCATCATTATGGTCGATGCAAGATTTCATGGTTGGTTGATCACTGGTACAAATCGATCGAGACCAAATCCCAAAAACCGACCGACTGTTATCATGGGTGTGTGAGTACATCCAAATCCCGAGAGCTTAGAGTTTAGAATAACGGATCAAGATACATTAATATAAGACATAAGTACCGTAAAGTTCCGGGGAGATCGCAGAATTATTGTCGGTTTGACTGCTGTGTAGATATTTACTCGGTACCTTGTTTTGCTTGAACTTGCAAACTTCAGACGACTGCCAGGGAACTCGCCAGTCACACGTACCCAGTTTGTTAGAAAATGCTTTTTCGCGTTTGTCGTCGGCCAATAAGGCAAATAATCTCAAATATTCCGTCAGTTTGGAAAAATAGACTTCAGAGTAATAAACAACACTTGCTATGCAATATTGAACTGATTGCGGCGTTCTGTTTTTGTTCAATATACTCTCGCGTACCTGTTATTTGCATATTTAAGCCGTCACTCCTTTATTCAGAGCACGTGGTCGATGGAAAGATGTCTTAACAAACTATTCCTTAGAGAACAAAAAGCTGTTAATTGTGCCCCTTCTTTGGAGAGTCTAAATTGACGTGGCTCTTACGGTAAACATCTTGAAAATAAATTTTGGCAAGTTCACGTTTAATATTACACTCTAGCTTTATCTTTTTGACACCGCACGGTTTACACTTTTAAAAAACAATTAGAATTGGTTGCAATCGTTTTAAAAACCTAACAACTAATTTCCTTATCGTGGTTTCAATCATACCCTTTCAGCATGAATACAAAATAAGTAACTATCGGGGTGATCTCACAAAATTGATTCCATTGCGTCATCGGTTACTGCAAGGATAGGCCAAAATCGGAGTGAGCGAGTAACACAAGACACACTGTGCGTGAACAAAATCGAGGAAAGGTAAAACATGGTTACTTTTCGTTTGCTCTTCTTGGGCTCTGATCTTTTTGTTCTCAGAAAAAATCAATATGTAGCTTCTCCTTGCAATATCTCTGCATCAGTTCAAACATGTATGGAGAAGAGACAAGCCTGTCAGCTAGAGGTTGCTGAGTGATAAAAAAAAACAACAACAAAAAGACACAAAAAACAACTGACTCTGCGGTTGAAATATTCGAGGAAAGGTTTACGAGATCACTCTCCCTTAACTTGTTAATGTACGGTGCTTTCCTTTTGCTCTATTACAATTTGGTCATTCAATCATTCATTTGCATTAACCGAAGCTCAAGAGAGATCGCCTAATCTACTGTAACTTAAAAAGTTAATTAAACAATTTATAGATCCAAATTTTAACAACAGCAGTGACCCACCTTGCTAAACGCAACTGGTTGCTTCAGACTTGAACTTGTGTCCTGCACGATTTTAGAGCGAAAATTTGCTGCAACAAGCGAGCGTGTGCAAGCTTTAATTCGCAAGGAAATGATTGCAACGTGTCACAGATGCAAAGGTGTTCTCATCAAATGGCATTCATAGGGTTAATTACCCGCTCCACGCAGAAGTTCAGATTTCACCGCGAGAACGTTCCCTCACAGACCGTGAATTTGTAGTGCGACAGAAAATAGACAGGAAATACCAATTGCATACCTAGATTCGATTGTTTTTATTGGCAAATCTTTTTTCCCTTATCGATGTTGATATTGGCCTGTTCTGAAATCTCATGCAATTTCAAGAGAACTAATCCGTTCTGGGATAAAGAGTCTAAGGAGGATTTTTTGGCCAAAAAAACTGAAAAGCTGCTTTTCATTAGCTCCAGACGCTTGATACAATATGTTTTAAGGGTGATAAGTTGCCATGCATAAATATGTATACATGGAGAAAAATGAAAGGGCTTCAAAAGCAAAGGAATGTTTCGTCATG